TATATTCCTTAAAAAGAAAAGCAAATGTTGATAATACTGATAATGATGATGCTTATAATTTATGAATTTGATTATGATGATTGTCTAACTTAAAAGCTAATATCTGTCTATATTTCTGAGATGACCCATTGTAACTATTTACACTGTTTAGACTTCTGTCCTCATCTTTATTGCCATATTCACAATGTTTCAGCCATTGTAAACTTGGAGAGTTACTAAAAGGAAATAACTGAGAGTGAGATATTCAAAACAGGCATGGCACATTGAATTAGAACAATCTAACTTCATGGACTAATTTGAGGGTTTGGTTTGAAATGCCAATGTATATCTCTTGAAGAAGGTTGTAGCATATAACAACCAAAATGTTGTGATTAAAAGCTGATGGTTTCAGTTTCCTAACATGTAAGTTAAAGCCTCAACGGGACGCAAGGGGTTACTGAGTGTGAAAATATAAGAAAAAAAAAAGAAACATTATTAAGGACCAAGAACAATAGAAGAGTAATCAAGAAGACAGTAGATAACGGTTGACATCGCATTTTATTTTTAAAGATCAAAATTGATTGGAAAACATGGAGCTGGAAAAGAGTTCCACAAGCGAGAAGTGTGAGAAAAGAAATTGCTACCATAGAACTTAAGATTACATTTAACCAATTCAGCAGTGAATGGATAATACCTTGCCTCCAATCTAGTCAAGTGAAGTCAGGTGCCATGTGTGATACACACTTAGGTGATCATATATCTTTCGATACATGATTGACAAGACAGATTTTTTTTTCCTGCAGTAGGTTGCCATTTCATTTTTGTGGTAGACCAGTTGCCATCCAAGGCTATAGAACCTGGTATGTCCTGATATTTACCCATAGATGGGGGGAGAAGAAGAAAATTCATACCTTTCCCAAGGGTATTAGCATGTAACAGAATGTAATGGATTCAACTGGAATTGGAACTCAGCTCTCCGATTCCTCAATCTGAGCCGCTATCCATTACTCCACCGTGCCTCCTTTCCAATCTCATACTAATGTAGTTTCCCTGTGCCTTTTCTATGAATATTATCATATGTTCAGATGAACCCATCGCTAACATACCTGGGCTTTATGAATTTAAGCTCTAATCTAGTACTGTGCTTAAATTCATAAAGCCTGGGTACCTTAGTGATGAGTTCATCCAAACAAGTACCATGAAAGTATTTATAGAAAAGGCACAGGGAATCTACATCACAGTGGTGAGAATGGGAATGAAGCTGAGATGCCAGGTCAGGACCAATAATATTGCTGTTTCTTCTTTGGATTTTATCAAGAAAATTTGGATTGTTATGGTTTTTAATTTAGAAAGAATAATCTAGAACAGTTACTAGGAAGAAACAGACTACATACAGATAGAGCAAGTAGGCCAAAAATATAAAAGGGCTTAAGACAAAGATGCATCTTCTCACCAGATTTATTTAACTTATACAATGAAATGATCCTACAAGAACTAGAAGTCCTACCAGGCTTTATTACTGGTGGGCACAATCTTAACAACATAATATATGCAGATGGTGGCAGAGATGGATGGTGAAAAGGCAAACATTGCTAAGCACTACAAAAGATAGGAAGTTGTGGAGAGCCATGATAAATCTACCTAATGAGATTGTGTATATGTATGTCAGAACAGGGATTGGGAAGGATGGTGAAACAACAAATGTTGCTTAGCACTACAAAGGATAGGAAGTTGTGGAGAGTAATGATCAACCTACCTAAATGGATGGCAGAACATGGACTGTGAGGGAGAGTATGTTGACTAATTGTACCCTTTTTAGAACAATCTACCTCCGTGGACTGCATAAAGATATCTTTTCGAAATTCCAGTGTATATCACCTGAAGAAGGCCGGAGTGTACAACAGACAAAACGTGAATATGGCAATAAAGATGAGGACAACTGTCTGAATAATGTAAATGGTATAAATGTAACAAGCTATACAAACAAAATCTGACCACACCCATTGTTTCTGTCATCCTGTCCTACTGAGGCATGGGGCAACATGAGAAAAAAAAGAGGAACCAAAATATTTTGTAGCAGAAGCAGCAATAAAATTGGTGTGGCAAACACAAGTGAAAAACTATTGATTTTAACATCAGACTCTGGGTCTAGACGGGCAACGAGTTATTAATACAATCCCCCCCCCTTCCTTTCCCCTGCTGTACTCATGGTAATGTACTGTTACTACTGAACAAACAGAGGAGGGGGTGTGCCAATAGTTGGCCATATTATTTTTAAATGATGGACATTTATTTATAGAGCAGAAGTGTTTGTGCACTTAGAGAAAATAGTTTTGCAGTTATATGCTAGCTGAAGTTGGAATAATCAAAGAAAATGGATTAAAACATTTCAATTTATTTCATTTTAATTTAAGTAGTATATATGCCTTTTTTTTTTAGGGTTTTTTAAAAAAAATCATTGAGTACAATTTTTAGATTAAGCTGTAAATTGCATTACCAGTTAGAATGTCTATAACCAAAACTCTATGAAAGTAACTTGGCACGAGACAATGAGTTAATTTGGTTGACCATTACTACTGAGTAATGTGTTTGATCTTTACTGGGTGCTCTGATACTTGTGGCCTGGTGATAATCTAAGCTCAGTTTAGTTTAGAGGTATCTCCAAAATACAGTGGCAACAAATTCATTTGAAATATATTAATCCTTTGAATATGTTGGTGTTTTTGCCACAATTTATACATTTTTGATGATCTGCCTGGTAAAAATCTGATTAAGCGCCAAGAAAGGGGCCAGTTCTGAAGAAAATTGCTTTTTGGTTTGATTATTATATCATTATTGTAATGATTATTTACATGTCTCTGGGAGAAATGTTACTCATTACAAGAAAATGCATAGAATTTCTGATTGGTTCAAAAAATTGGGACAAATTTGGACATATCAGAAAAAAAAACCCCCAAAAAAACAAGCAAAAGAAAACAAAAAACAAACAGAGTGTCGAAAGGACAGTTTTTCCCTTGACACCACTATTATTTTAACTACCTTCACTCCCTGGCAATGTTTCTTTTAAAAAGCAATGATTAGAATTGTAATAAAACTTAAACATGTTAAAGTGAATTTATAAATTTTCTTTGTTCTTAAGAATTGACAATGAAAATCATAAACACTATTTATCTATATATTATATTGTTTATTGGAATGATTGGCAAAACATCAGCTAATTACCAATTGATTCATAATTTATAAAATGGTAAATAATAAAAATATCCTTATAGTTGGTTCACATATTTTGATAATTTGGTAAATGTTAAATTTAGGAATAAAAAATTGTTTTCATATTTATTTCTTTATAAATTTGTAAATGATAAATATTGCATTAGTTTTAATTGTATTAGTTTTTGGAATGTTTTAGATATGAAATTATTCTTGTAAATAAACAATCTAAAAAAAATATGTTTAATATTTTTGTCGTAAAGTCTTAAGAAGAAAAAATGTATAAATTCACTTTTATCATATGCTTAAGCTTTATTACAATTTTAAACATTGCTTTTTAAAACAATAAACATTGTTGAGGAGTGAAGGTAGTTAAAATAGTAGTGGTGTCAAGGGTAAACCATCTTTTTGATAAGGTCCAAATTTGCTTTAATTATTTTGTTATCATTTATTGAAACCAGAGCAAATTTTATTACAGATATCTAAGATGAAATATGGAGACAGACATTTTGATTTTTCCTAATTTCTCTTAGAATATAAGTGGGAGTATTTGTTTTATTGTTATGGGATCTTACCCATAATAATAATAATGGACTATTCCATACTTAATAAATATTGTGCCTCAGGAGTAGGCAAGGAGTTAGTAGAGTAGTTCAAGTTGAGTCAGAGGCAGTCCGAAACAGTCGTGTTCAGACAATTACTGCAAGACATTGGAATAGTGATACTGGTTGAGACTACATTGTTCTCTCTACTAAACCTGATTGTTCATACTAACACTTCTACTTCTCTGTATATATTCCTGTTTGTAACATATCTGTGTTATTCCATACCTGTGTTCGCGTTCTTCTTTATTGGTTCTACCTTGGACTATCACCGTGGTACAAGGAACCGGACCATAACATTTATGATGCTTGCAGAGTTTTATATTCATTTCTGATATTCTTATGCTCCAAGGTGGTATATTTCATATGATTATATTATGGATTCTAGATAGAAATATTTCTACTTCTTTCATGATAGGTTCTGTTATAAGAACATCATTGATGATGATTGTAAGGACTTTCAGCCCTACTAGGGAATGCGGGGATCAACACAGATCCAGCGGGGAGTTTAAATAAAACACATTGTTGAATTTACCATGTGTCATGTTGTCTTTGTGTTGCTTTGACTTTTTGGCAGACAGTCTCGTATAATATATCTGTCCACTCTTAGCCCAGTGGAACAGGTTCCATCTGGAATTCAAAGACTTTTATACCTTTCTCTTTTTGCTGGAAGTTGTTTCTTTGACTGATTTGTTTTTTATGTCTTATCAACACTTTGCAGGTTATTTAAACCCAGAAAACATTTTTAGATTGTAAGAATTTTTTTTGGAGATAATGATTTAGAGATACATATTATATGAATTAACCAATAGCTGGGTCAGAGAAAATGTGGATTCATAGCTGTCGTGGGGGTATTTGAATCTAAGTGAATATAACAAACCCAGCCAAAATTGGAAACCAGCAATCTGATTACCAATTCCAAGACATTATCTATTACACCACTTGTACATCCAAGCTTACAGCATCTAGGATTCCCAAGCAGTCATCCATCTCTATGTACTGACCAAGCTCAATGATGCTTTTTTTGTAGATAATGATTTAGTGAAACAAGTCTTATTAATTAACCCATAGATGGAGGGGGAAAGAGGTGTATTGATACCTTTCCTTTTCCGCCTAAGTGAATATAATAAACATAACCGAAATTGGAACTTGGCAATTTGATTAACAATTCTGAGTTATTATCCATGACACCACCCATACATCCAAGTTTACAGCACCTGGTATTCTCAAGTGGTCATCCATCTAGATACTGATTAGGCTTGACGTTGTTTAACTTTGGTGATTGTATGGGAACTGGTGTTTCAACTATATATGGCTGGAATAGGTTTCTTTATTTTGGATCAAATGTGATATTGTATGCAGGATTATTGGAGTCTGAAACTTGTTTCTAAAATGGATTAATAAGTATATATTCACTGGTTTTTCTTTTATTTTAGAGCAGGGTTCTCAAATATGTTGCCATGGGCCCATGGGAAAATTAAATAAAACCTACAAATAAAATAATAATGAATAATAATAATACATTTTCCCATAATGCTAGTAATAAAGAAACCGGAAATTTTATTACCCCGCTTGGCTTTGTCAAATGCCTGTTAGGTGGTGTTGTTTAAATCTATAAAAAGACAAACATTTTCTTTCCTTGCTCTCTTTCTCCTCCTTGCTCCAAGATGTAGCACCATGTGGAAATTTACGTCCCTGTTGGCGAACATTTGTTTTCCAGGTCCACTGATGACTGACCTCTCCTTTCCACTTTTCAATGCATGGCATTCACATATGTCTTCCAAAACCTCCACCTATGAAGTAAATCAACTTTTTCTTTGATTGTTCCAACCCGGCACAAGTCTGACTTGAGCTTGACCATTATAATCATGCCAACCCTCCAAGGATGAAGTAAGTACAAACTTTTCTTTGGTTGTTCTAACTCTGCGCAAGGCTGACTTGAGCTCAGCCATTATAATGATGCTTATCCTTACACTAACTTCTGGACCAGAAAAGGAAAATGGACATACAGAAGAGACATTGATATCTTTGTTTCACTACAGTTTACATAAAAAGATAATAAACAGTCCGTAGTAGAAACACAGCTAAAATAGTGCCCAACATTCCATAGGTTCCATGCGGCCTGCAGATTATTTTTCTGTGGCCTATGGTGAACTATTTTTATGATCAATATTTTCCTCAAATTTTACTAAGTTTAATAAATTTTTCTCATCTCTTCTATAGTTTTGCAGTAGCAGTATAGAATTTTGTTAAATAATAGTTTAGCAGACTATTATTTTTAGGGATAAGTGTTACTTTGCTCTGACTTCCTGAGGTTGACCTTAGGGATGATATACAAGACAAAATAAGGAAGTCGATTTTGATTGGTTGAGCCAGTGTGAGAATGGAGATAGGTTTTTCAGAAACTGTTAAACAATGTAGACATGTCTTCTTTTGTGTCTGGAATGGCTCCCCTGTGGAGTGGGGGAACAACCCCCAACTAGATAGATAGAACATGAGCGTTAATAAAATAGTTAAGTTAAAATTCCCTGTGTTGAAGCTCTTATCGCTGAACTCAAAACAATTAACAATCACTGGCCATGAGAGAAGATGCAGCATTATCAAATTGATGCTGTTGATCAAGACCACCTTACCAAGGGGCTATGCAAAAATTTGACCTACCCACCAATTGCAAACAGGCTGTTAATCAGTTTTAAAGTCAGTGGGGTCTCTTCTAACCCCTCTTCAGGGAAGAGAAGAAAAGTTGACCTCCCCACCACCATCTATTATTCCTATCTAGAGAGTATAAAAATATCTCATTCTCTTTTTTTAAATTTTATAACAAGAAATACATTTAATGAATCATATTAAAGAAAGTGGAAGTAAATATCAAATTTTTATATACGTCATACAAGTTTTTCTTTCTTTTACTAATGTTCACCCAATATAAGGCCCAAGAGCCACGCAAGGTAGAGGATTACTGGGTGGATTTATATTTAGCATAGGAAAGAACAAGCACTAGGAGTATAGAGCTGAAACAGACTTTAGAATAAACTGGAAACCCAATCCTAATCAGGAAACAAGGGATAAACCTCTACTCCTGTTCAAAAGGACTGAGCAGGAGTGTAAACAGAACAATAGGTGAACCTATTTACTCCCATTAATATAGAGTGAAAAGAAATAAATTTAGCTACTTATGGGTTTTTATATTGAGTAGAGGCAGGGCTAGTGCATATTAACTCCTGAACCCCATGACCGAGAGAGGTCCAAGCAGTGCTTTGTGACCCTTGTTATTTTTTACCTACATTTATATACGTTACAAATTAAACTAAGCACAACAGAATATTAAAGGATGAAAAATTTTCATGAATTTTGACATCATTCTGGAGTATTTTTTTCTTTGTCCAAAATTTGTCTGAATTTGTTTTGTTCATGCTAAGTCTTGAAAAAAAAAACACTAAATAAAACTCACTATTTTTTTTATCCATAATGTCGAGTGTGTTGAAATTATTCAAATTTTTAACAAGAAAAATCTCAAGTTGATGTTAAAAATTGCCACAAAACATTGTTGATTTATTCAAGATAGTATAATCTATTATGACAGGTCTCAAATTTGTATTTAGATACATTGTATTTATTTTCAGTTATTCTAGTTGAATTGTTCACCTATATTGCATATGATCCATTATTGTTCATAATTAGGTTATAATTTGTATTTTATATGAATATGACCTTATGAAAATTGAGATCTAGTAGAGTTTGGTGGGAGGTGGCTATCATAGAATTGGTGAGGTGGGGGTGAAACCCTTGCGCCAGCCCTGTGTGGAGGAATACATCTGATCTTATATTGGGGTACAAGTAGTATAGGAGGTAAAAGGCCACTAACACAGCCAATAGAAAATCATATTTAGAAGAGGTTTGTGAGAAAATTGTTAAATAAAATGAAATTTCAAAGGAGCACATGTTTTGGTCAATTATACAGGGTGGGCCATAAGTTTCCATACATATAAAAAAAAATAAACATTTTATATTGGAAAACCATTATTATTTATATAATGTGCTCTATATGATTACCATTGTTTCGAAAACACATATTAATACAGGTTTCCCACTGTTGATGAACACATATTAGTACAGCTGATGTTATGCTTGTAATGGTGTTGGTAATATGTTCCTTGAGATGATTTATATCTTGTATCTTTACTTGATACACAATGGCCTTCAAATGCTCCCAAAGATAGAAATCAAAGGGGGAGAGATCTGGGGATCTTGAAGGCAACTCCACAGGCCCATGCTGACCAATCCAAGCATCCAGAAACTGCTGATACAAATACTGATGCATTTGCATTTTCCTATGTATGGAAACTTATAGACCACCCTGTATAAGTGAACCAAAAAAAAAAAAAAAAAAAAAAAAAAAAAGGAATTTCCGTGAAGTGAATTTTCCAGGAAAAGTGGGAATATCAGTATTTTGTAACAGAAGTAGTTTTTTAATCATTTCATTACAAGCAAGGCAATAAAGCCACTAAAATGCAAACGTTTATTGGATGTTAAAAAATATAATATATATTATTAGTAATATATATTATTACTAGCTTAAAAGCTACCCTACCAGGCAAAATTTAAGCGAGCTCCTACGGAGGGCTCTTGATTGGACCTTCATTACAACAGGCAGTAGAGTAGATATGATAGATAACAATAAACTACAGAAGAACTCAATGATCACTGCATTTAAGTATTGCATTGGTATTTAGGCTTAGCTTTTAAAAGTTCAATGATAATTCTTTTGCTACCACTTAAAGACAATTTGATGCATGTAGGTCCTTACTTTCTGTACAAACAATTATTTTTATTTCATGGGTGACTTTTGCTGAATTTCACAACTAATTTTGATTATTCTCAAATTTATTTCCAAGTTCTTAAAAATTATCGTACAAAATGTCACAAAAAATCATATAAAAAAAAAAAAATCACCGAAAACAATTGCAATTTTAATTCACTCATCCTAAACCAACAAGAATCAACCACACTTTTCTCCTGTACATACAGAAACACATGAAATTCTAACTATTGGACAAGCAGTTCACATGGACAGGTCCTTAACATGTGTGTCAACAAAAATTTAATCTCCTTTTCCTTTTCAGACCACAATAGTAACATTTATCTTTTGGCACTAAAAAATTTTTTTAAACAAAATACAATCTAAAATGTGTGTCAAGGCAGCAGGTTTTCATTGGTAAATATTTATTTGGAAACTAGCTTAAAAGCAGCTCTATAGGGTGGCATTTAAGCTAACGGAGGTCTCTTGATTGGACCTTCATCAAAATAGGTAGGAAGAAGTAGATGCAATAGGCAACAATAAACTACAGAAAAACTCAAAACTGATCATTGCATTTAAGTAATTCATTAATACTTAAGCTTACCTTTTAAAAGTTCAACGATAATTCTTTTGCCACCACTTAAAGACACTGATGTACGTAGGTCCTTACTTTCTGTACAAACAATTATTTTTATTTTATGGGTGACTTTTGTTGTATTTCACAATTAGTTTCTATTATTCTCAAACTTATTTCCAAGTTAAAAAAATTGTTATCATACAAAAAATTTGCTGAAAAAAATGAAGCAATTAAAACTTGGGAATCCAAAATTTCAGGATTTCAGGTCTGGATATGGCCCAGAATGCTTTTAATTTGTTCACAGAAGTTGGCCCGATTCCAAAATCTAAGAATAAAGTTGAAAAAGTGTGACACAGTGACAAACTGACATTTACATTTATTATATAGGAGAGAGGACAGTAAAAGAACAAGAATATGAAAGAAAAAAAAAACATTATCAGAGGGAGGAGAATAAAAGAACAGGAATTAAGTCAGAAGATAATGATTGATCTTCAAAAATTTAAGTGAAATATCAAAGTTGGTTGGGAAGCAAGAAGCCGAAATAGTTTCACAAATGAGAAGTACAAGAGAAGAAACTGTTAGCATAGAACTTACATCGAGCCATTTCAACTGTAAAACGATGAGACCTTGCCGCCAATCTATTATTGCACTTAAACACAAAGTCTAGGTACCATAGAGGAAAGGAGAGAGAACAATAAACGAACTGATACTTATGGGATGTATTGATAGCAAGAAGGACACAGGAAAATAGTGAATAATGTGCTTAATGAGCTTAAGTAAATGGATGGTGGAACAGGGTCTAGGAGAAATAACAAAGAGTGAAAGGACAAGAAATAGTGGAGAGCCATGATTGCCTATGTCCTGAAAGAACATGACACATAAAGAAGTAACAATTCGGGGAACACGAACAATGCACCACACTTATACACAT